GAAAAATCATTTGCGCCGGTTGTAACTCAGCCTAGTCTCAGGTGTGATATATCTTCTTCGCTTAGGCACAGTTAATACCTTACTGATCAGCAGCATTGCGCCGTGAGGTGTCAAAAAGCCCCTCCACGTGCATTTTCGGGGCCCCGACCCTTCCTCAGGTCAATATCTTCACAATTACACCACTTCAGCTTTTCGGACTCCCACATCCTCTAGAACTTTCGTCCCACTGTACGGTATGTAACTAATTTTGACCTTTTAAGTTTTCATTAGGTATTTGTACGTGCCAAACTCTCCCATTGACGTGCTATTTTGGGAAAGCCTGCCAATGTGCTTTTGGTAGTCCTTGTTTAAAACGACCTCCAACGCCACTGTTTTCATTACATCCGTGAAAGTTTATGCTCGATATGATAAAAAGGTCCCCTTTTATCTCTATGCTAGGTTGCATCGTAATAGCATGCTTCACTTTTGATATGCAGCCATTCAAAGTTTGTGTCAATTTTTAGTGAACACCCTATATGTCGCATTGACTATTGGAAGTTTCAATGTTGTATCTTTATCACTTTCTGAGAAATATTGTTTAAAATTGGGAACGTTTTTTTCTGGGCCACCCGGTAGATCTTAAGGCCGAAAAACAATAAAACAAGGAAAGATAGGATGACTTAATATGATAATGTAGATATGCAATATCGAGAGTTAATGATCTCCCATCCTTCACCCCCCTTGTAAGTCTGTCGTCTATAATCTCTATCTCCGTCACTTGTCTCTGGTCTACCATCTTGTCTGTCTTTCATCTACCGTCTTTGTCTCCTGTCTCTGCTCTAGCGCTTACGTAGATTGTTTGGTGTCCACCAACCACAGTCTATCGTTCGTGTCATTGTCAATTTGTCCCTTCTTCCTTTTTCCTTCTTCCTCCGTCCTTATTTGCTGCAGAACAACTTATTAAAAGCTCGTGACATGCAAACAAGTGCGCAACTCTACCGCGCCGCGCGCGCACCACCCGCACGCTGGCCGGTCAGACTGCGACTGCAGCTGGCATGACCCGAGGCAGGACTGCAAGTGGGCGGAGCAAAACCGCAGTGTGCTAGAACGTCACGACCAATCAGAGGGGAGAGAGCGCCCAGCCTGTGCTAGCCTCTAAGCAGGGCTCTGACGACCTTAACATTATCAGTCAATGACAAGTGCCTTTATTTTTCATTTTTTGTTAATAGACCATATTAACCCGCGCCCCAGTGGCGGTCTCCGCCAACTTCGCCCTAGTGGGGGGGGGGGGCATATGTTACCACCCACCTCTAACTCAAAAACTAAGAGGGCTAGAAAGACGCGGTAAAAAAAGCGGTCGATAGCTCTCAATGCGTGCGTTTGAAAGTATTTCGGTCATTTTTCATCTTAGAGCAATATTGGGGTCACCAGAGGTCATCAAATGTCAAATTTGCGAATTGTCATTATATTTTTTCAGAAAACATGCCATTATCTCAGGAACTATGATAGCTAGAAAAACGCTGGGAAAAGCAATCGATAGCTTTTGAACTCTTCTTTTGATAAGGCTATAATAAAAAATGACCTCAGGTCAACGGTTTAGCCTCCAGAGGGCAAAAACTCCAAAAATAGCTGCTTTTAAGATAAGTGTTTTTCGACAATAACTTTTGACTAAAAAAGCTAGGTCATTTCTAATGCCAGAATCGTGTTCCTCTCGCCGAGACGCGTCGAATGAACTATAATTTGACCTTGAAAGGTCAACTTCAAAATTTGACCTCAGGTCAAGGTCATGACATGACCGGAAAAGGTCATGTTGCATATCAGTCGATGCGTCTCGGCAAGACAAACACAACGAGGCTAACCCCAGCGTTCTATCTTTTTCCAATCGAGAGTTATTGGCAAAAAACTGTTTGTAGCCTCAAATGACCTCGGATGACCTTTCAAGAGGCTATCAGCAAAAAAGACACCTTGGTCGTCACAGGTGGTCCAAATCATTGTTATCCTGAAATATTTGGACTGTTCCTATGCGTACACACGGATCTAGAGGCATTTTCGTTTTTCTTCATTGACTTATAATGGAAAGGTCACGCCACCGACCTGACCTTAGGTCACGCATATAAAAATCCGAGATATACAAATTGTAGGCACCCATAACATCATGTAATCCACCAAGTTTAAAACCTCTCTGACAAACACTGCAGGCTGGACATGATTGCAAACTTTTTTTTAGGCTTGGTCAGTTAACCCGCGCGGGGCTGGGGTCTCCAGCCGAACGCGCGGGGCTGGGGGGGGGGGGGGTAAATTTTACCCCCCCTGTTATCTCCCGAACTAATGGTCCGATTTGGAAAATTCAAACGCCAATCGAAAGCTCTCATCACGAACTACTAAAAACATGTACTTAATTTAAAGTTTGAGGTCAAGGTCAAGGTCAGGTCAAGGGTACAAATTGCAAGTTTCTACAGTATCGGCCTTGCACCGTAGTTACCGAAGAATGGAGTCATGGACTGAGACTGATCGCCCAAAACGTGTTCTTAGGCTACCAAGACAATATTTGTTGCATACAATATCATTCAGAGGTCAAGGTCAAGGTCAGGTCAGGTCAGGTCAGGTCACCAAAAAACAAAATATAGAAAAGGGCATGTGCGACACATGTTTTATGGGTCATTTTACTCATAGAATTCAATAGGCACACTCAATAAGTGATATGGACCACCTCTGGATGAATTTCAGGTCGAGGTCAGGTCAAGGTCAGGTCAAGTGAGGTCAAATTTTGAAGTTGGTTGTTAAGGCCTAAAAAGGTGTCTATCTGATGCAGTTTTTCACGGCGAATCGAATGGTGCTATTTTTGTTTCCGTACGAGGTCTAGAACTTCCAAAAAAGTCATTTTTCAAAAAATTTGTGTGTCGTGACGTCATAAAATTTTGAATAACTCCCACATTTTTGAACCGATTCTTCTAAAATTTGGTATGTAGGTGCACATAGACCATTTCTATGACATATATTCCGGTTTTTTCGATAGACTCAAAATTTTGGATTTTATAATGATTTTCCCAAAAAAGTTAGTTTTTTGAAAAAAATTAGGCCAAAATCCAAAATTTTCAAAAAACCGAGATAGCCATTTGATAGACAAAGTAAAATTACGTATAACCTTTTTTGTTACGTCTTGATTCCTTTAAAAATGAAGATGTTAGCGGCGTTTGAACTTTTGCCGTTTTTGAGGCGAAAATGGCGAACACGACGTCACTAAAACGTCAATTTCTCAAAAATTTTCCGACGGATTTCGCTCAAATTTTCAGGGAACGTGTCAAATTGATGTAAGAAAAGGTACTGAAAGTCGCCGCCGTTTTTGAGATATCGCAAAAATTCGCGAGGGGGGTAAAATTTACCCCCCCCAGCCCCGCGCGGGTTAACTTGACCTGGTGACCTGACCTGATATGACCTGGGGTCGAAAATTTCACACATTGTCCAAAATTGATGTACCAAAAGCTACCCCAAGCGACGCGGCGCTACGCGCCGCGGTTTTTTATTTATACGAAAAAAACGCGACAGGGTGGTAACATATGCCCCCCCCCCCCACTGGGGCGAAGGTTAATAAAAATTAGGTAGGGATCTCAAATTACCAATGCCAAAGTTTGGTTAAAATCAAGCGCATATACAGCGAAAAATAGCCGAAAAGGACTGCTCCACAGGGCCTGAAATGCATAATAGAACACGATGATGACATTCGTTTTATCATATGTGTACGTGTTTGGTTCAAAAAGTTCAATTTAGGAAATGCATGTATCATGGTCATGAAGTAGTCACGAGAAATTGCCAAGATTCAGTTCAAGATTTTGGAAAATGCGGAACGATAATCAAAAATCGAAGATAGCCATTTGATTGTTCATGATATTGGCAGTCTAATGGCGTTTACGACATGTCTGTATGTCTATACCGTGAGTTTATAGGTTTTTTTGAACATATGCCGTTTTTGGTCGAAAAATCGGAAATCATGACGTCACTAAAACCTCGATATCTCACAAATTTTCCGACCGAATTTTTGAAAACTTTGTCACAATAAACTTCAATCAATTCCCTAGAGGTACCCAAATTTTGGCGCACCTGCGGCGCGCCGTTTTTATGCTATAGCGCGGCGAAAAAGTGGGGGCGTTTAACGCCCCCCCCCCCAGCAACTCGCGGGATAAGGAATAAAGCGACCCTACAAAAGTTACCGCATGTAGATCGGTCAAGTTGTTGCTGAGATATAAGCCTCGCAAAAGCGTCCGCACGGCCGGCCGGCCGGCCGTCCTCACTCGGACGTTATTCTACGAAACAATATAGTTCGTTTTTTTTCAAAAGGACTCTGGCTCCAAGTACGTTTTTCGAAAAAGCACGCGTTTTAGCGAGCAAAACGAGCAAAAACTGAACCTGAGAAACTCGAACGTCGCCTTATTTTAACATGTGAAGTATTCCCAATAATTTCCATATGTGCATTTTCGAACCAGATATGAGCATAGTGGTGACCTCATGCTGTCGAACTTGTATTGCAATGTAACGTATAACTATCATGGACGAAACCGCTTACTCGATTATAACCTCGGCAACAGTGAAAAACGAAGTTTCCCCCAAATTCGTCGAAACTTTGTCCCATCGTAAGGACATTGGGTGCTTGCTGCCACCAGTGACGTCATCATAGTATGCTAATTTTTCAAGGCACAATTTCCGGGTACTTACCGTGCACAATTTGAAATTGAATATTTTTTCGGTAAGAAATTCTTGGCCAGACGCTGAAGCTGTCAAAACTCACGTGAGAGCTTCGATAAGGAACTTGGAGCCAGCGTCCTTTTGAAAAAAAAAACGAACTATACACTCCCTTCGCTCGCTCCGTAATAAGACAACCATCTCTTTCTCCTCTGTCTGTCTGTCTCTCTGTCTGTCTCAGTCTGTCTCTCTCTGTCTCTGTTTCTCGCCCTCCCTGCCTACAATACCGTTAGCGATTCACCATGTGCTGCCGAATATGTTACCTGTTCTCTGGGCCGTTCCAGCATGAACCTGTACGCCCAAATTGAAAAGGAGACCGGACAGCAGGTAGGCTTCCATCGCTGCGGCAGCCTCCGCCTGGCCACCAAAGACGAGCGCATGGATGAGTTTAGGTGAGTCATACTTAACCCGCGCCCGGCTGGGGGGTCTTGGATTTCCACGCCCTGCTGGGGGGGGGGTGTTTGAACACCCCCTTGTAACTCGGCTCCTGGGCCACGTAGCGATACGCGGAAGGCGGCATTCGAAAGAGCGTCAAAAATAATGACGAAATCACTTTGGTCAATTTTTTGGTCAGGTCAAAGGTCAGGTCACCAGAGGTCATTGAAGGCAAAATTTCGCCGATTTCCAGGTCGATTGTCGAAAGTTTCCAAGAAGCCAACGCATAACTCGGGAACCAATAGAGCTACAGCGCCGCAGAAAAGCGCATTCGATAGCCCTAGTAACGCCCTTTCTGAGCAATTTTCTCAGATTTGACCTAACGTCAACGATTTTGCCTGCAGGCAGGGGGCAAAAACTGCAAAATAACCGATTTTTTTCGGAAGCAGTTTTTCTGCAATAACTTTTCACCAAAGCCTTGTGCGAGCTTACTTTTACCGGCATCGTGTTTCTCTCGTCAAGACGCATCGAATGAACTATAACTTGACCTTGAAAGGTCAACTTGAAAATTTGACGTTAGGTCAAATCTGAGAAAATTGCTCAGAAAGGGCGTTACTAGGTCAACTTTGACCTTTGGTCAAGGTCATGACCTGACCGGAAAGGGTCATGTTGCATATCAGTCGATCTGTATCGTCGAGCTGAACACATCTAAGGCGTTTTCATCGCTCTAGCATGCATCTATTAAAAGTTATTTGCGAAAAACTGTTAGATACCATTCGTGACCTAAGATGACCTCAGGGCATAAACAGGGGTCACGGACACCATTTTCATGTTCAGTGTGTCTAAACCACTTGTAATTCAGTGTTTGGTAGTGTTTATAATGTCTTTCGTCTAAAAGAGGCGCATTTCAATTTTCTCCCATTGACTTATAATGGGGAGGTCGCAAAATTGACCTGACCTTAGGTTATCGATATCAAAATTCTGAGATAAATATTTTGTACATGCTATTGCTCTTAGCAATCGCTGAAAGTTTCAAAGCGATCGGTCACTCGGTGTAGCTATGACAGACATTGAAACTTTTTATGAGGTGAGGTCACTTCAAGTGACCTGGTGACCTGACCTTGAATGACCTTGGTCTGAAATTTTCACAACATGTGTAGAATTGATGACCTGACCTGACCCGACCTGGCCTAAATGCATGAAGACATTATCTATGTTCATAACTAACATGATATTCGTGATCAGCACCCCGAAAAAAAACATAACAGTTGTATCTTGTAACCTAGATGTAATGACTTAGATGCCTGACTTAATGGGTAAAACGTAGCTGTGCTATGTCTGCATGTTCGTGTGTTGTGTTGGTGTGCATTGTTATGTGTTGAATATGTACCGTGAAATATCGGTGCGAAATAAATGGATTATTATTATTATTATTATTATTATCTTTAGGGGAGAGTGGGGTGGGTTGTATCAGTTTTTACTCCGAGACCCATAACCTCGTAACTATCCGTGATAAACTCTTTATTTCCATACTATCTCCTTCCTTGATTCTTCTGCTTTTTTGTGCAAAGTAACTTTTCCGCTACCTCTACCAGTTTTTCTTCTACGGTCTGCCGAATAGAGCAATGTTTTTGATACAACTTGCCCCATGACTTGGGTGAGTTGTATCACATGGTGGGGTAATTTGTATCACTAGGTATTTCACGTTTCAGGGAGTGTGCTTCCTACTGGTTTTGAACATAACAACATTAAATGGGGTTAATACAATGTATATGCTCAATCAAAGGCTTCACTTTTATTAGACCAAACTTAGGTCAATGCAATCCGAACGAAACATCGAAACGAGCGAAACATCAACAGACTAGATGCAAAAGTGGCCCGTTAAGAGCAAAGAAGCCAACACATTGTGCCGAAATGGAACGAGTATTGACCAGCTACCTACAAACGCGAGACAGGGCTTAGCTTTCGCGATCAAAAGCAACATGCCCATACATACATACATGTTACAACATACCCCACCCGGCTCTGATACAACATGTACCTCGCCGCCATCTTGGAAAAAACATCCTCGTGCTCAAAAACAGCGGACAGCTGGAGAAATCCATTTTCACTCACGCAGCCTTAGAACCTACCCTCACCACCGCTACGGAGATCTTTCAAATTCGTGCACATCTAAATGCCAAAAACACACATTTTCTTGCAACTCATTTTTTTAGAATGACATTAAAAAAACATAAAATCGGTTCTCACCCCGAGACGCGTCCACCCAGCCACACGACAGAACAGTGAAAGATGGCGCCCGGAAAACCTCGTCGGCTGGTCGTGCAACGAGCGCTATCTATTGGATAAATTTGGCACAATTCGCCCTGATACAACTTGGACATGATACAACTCTCCCCGCTCTCCCCTACGACGTTGCAACAGGTCCCGCGATTTTCCCGACTTTTGGGTCATTGACCTGACCTGGAAGGTCAACCGATGACCTAGGACCTTAAAATGAGGTATCATCGGCGTCCTCTCGTGACGGGCAACACTCTCTAGCTCTCTAGTGTTTTCTCCGCGAAGCTCTAGCTCGATCAGGTGCGAAACGGCAAGGGGCAAGGTCCAACGCCCCCCTCCCTATACGTTCGCGGCTGGAAAAACACCAATACGGGCGAGAGTTAAGATTAATGTGTTACCCCCTCACATTGCCCCACCCAAGGCCACATAACCCACCAGACAGTGATAAACATACATACTTATCCGTGTTGGGGGTTTGATTGAGTGGGGGGGAGGGGCGGAAACACGAGTTGGGTCACTGGTCAGCTGCCAATTGACAATTTTTGCTACTTGAATCACAGTAGCAAAATCATAGAATCACAGTAGGTACTCAGCTCTATAAATCACAAAACTCTGGCTTTTCCCGTAGTCATGGAGTATAAACAGTTTTTGAACAAATAATTTAATGTTTCTCGCTAAATCCATGTAAGACTCCGAACAAAAACGTATTGCAGAGAAGGTAATTTTGTGAGATGTTCACGTTTTGACTGGGGGGGGGCAAATGTTGGCCACTGGGGGGGGGGGGGCAATCCGCTCGACTGGGGAGGCAATTGCCCCCCCCCCCCCCCCCCAGTTAACATGTTCGACGAGGCCCTGTTACGCAGCCCCTGCCCAACAATGAAAACAAATACAATATCAACTGTTGCGCTGGTACGGCATGTGGTACGCCTATATATGGCCTTGATGTGGTAAATCTTTTCCAACCTTTGGCCAATGGCCATCCTTGGGCTGTGAATATATATTACTGACCGGGCCGACGAAATTATTTGGAAACGAGGTTTGCAAAATTGACGTAGGCCCGAGTGCGAAGCACGAGGGCCGGAGTCAAATTTTGGAAACCGAGTTTCCAAATAATTTCGTACGGCTGAGGTCAGTACAAGGCCCTACATACTAGGTAGTCATCCGGGGATTTCACGAAAAGCTGTGACGTCACACGTCCTCAGATCGCGTTGCCCCGTATCAAAACCGTAGAAATGGGTCACTTTCCGACGGCTGGTACAGAAAATTTAGGGGTGTTTGCAGTATTCTGTTTATGCCAGCGAATAGGTCGTTTCAAGCTCTATCTTTTATCTAAATACATTTTTTCTCTATCTCTTTCACATTTCTTGCTATAAGGTGATATCCTCGGCCCTGCTTTCGAATCTTCGTTCCGACGCCGTCGGTGGCGGCCGCAGTAGCTCAGTGGTATGATCTTCGCTTCCTACCCGGGCGATGCGGGTTCGATTCTAGTACGTGGCGTAAATTTATTACGTAGCGGTATGTACAGTCTGTCTTAAAAGTACCGCGCAAAGTGACGGTGGATCCATCAAGCCTGACCGAGGAAGGGCCTGCTTTAATTTGATTGTCACCGAACCAATTGAACTGGGGAATGGACGAGAATGTCAATTGCTTCGGGGACTCAAATTTAACAGGTTTTTTCTCGGTCAGGCTTGATGGATCCACCGTCACTTTGCGCGGTACTTTTAAGACAGACTGTACAGTCTGTCTTAAAAGTACCGCGCAAAGTGGCGGTGGATCCATCAAGCCTGACCGAGAAAGGGTCTGCTTTAATTTGAAAGTCACCGACCAATTGACCTTGGGAATGGACGAGGATGTCAATTGCTTCGGTGACCCAAATTTGGCAGGCCATTCCTCAGTCAGGCTCGATGGATCCACCGTCACTTTGCGCGGTACTTTTAAGACAGACTGTACAACCTACGTTTACGAGACTAATTTATGCGCCTTTTTTTATTTCAGCCCGTTTCAAACCTAATTTATTGCCCTATTGTACTCTTATTACTAAGTTCAGCGTACCTTAGTAAGGGATTTAACCCAGCATCTGAGGGAAGCGGCGAACGACGCTCTCCATACGCGATTTCCCATTTGAATCTGGCCCCTAGTTCATAAGCTCCAACATCATGTCCATGTTTAATCCACATAATTTAAATTTTCAGAAAAGTCATGGAGCTGCCGTATTACTATATCTAATATAGTATCTATTATCTAATAATATAATATATTATGCACCTAATTGAGTAGACTGTGGCGCAGCCCATAACAGCAACAGTGTGTTGTAAGCATATCGTCTCGTCCCACGTGTTTTCCGCAGCAGTTGATGTACACAATAAAATGGTAACCGTCATTATATAAATCAATAATATAGCATAATCAACACTGCACATCAGTACCTACACATTCATAGGACAGCACTAAGCCTGGCAATCACAGTTGAATCTCCCGACTAGGCCAGGCACTCGGCTCCGGCGGACACGTCACCCGCACAGCCGCCCAATGGTCGCTAGTCACACCTCACGGCGCGTCGATAGGAGGGCAGCAATGAGTCTGGCTATCACACGCCGGTCAAAACTGACATTCAGATGTCTCAGCTTCTTCTACCACAGAACTCCAGACACGCTGACGGACCTGTTTGGCTGCTCCCAGGCGGCGACAGTTTCAGCAGCTTGCGCTTGATTTATGGGATCTGAGTCGGATATGCAGCCCGGTACGAACCAGCTCCAGGAGCCGCCGAACAATGCCCGGATCCAGGACCAGGCACAGACGGTCCACGTCCACGATGATGCAGAAGAGCACCTCGAACGCCTCGATCACTGTCATTCCCTCCCACTTTAGCCAGACGTCCTCAGTAGCTTCGGCACCGCCTTACCGGTGTCGGTCGCTGCACCGCCGTCTCCAGCATGCTCTCCGATGACCGGCGGTACTGTCGGCTGCAAGGTGACCGCCCGGTACGCCTCCTCCACCGCTGCCGTCAGCTCCACTGGACGCTGGAACTGGATCTGGAAAGGGAACGTTTGCATAGCTTTTAGCCTTTAGGGGCATTTAATTTTCTCAGTTCAGCAGTCAACTGAGGGAGCCGTTTGTGTGCGCGCATGCATGTCCGCATGCACATCACCATTATCTAAGGTAATACGAAACATATATCCATGTATTTTTTATATTTTCAAGCCCTGACCATGAGGCTATTTTTATGCCATGGTCATAAAGTGTTCTAAAACATCATAATACAATAATGGAATACGAAAGGCTTATTAAAGGCATGCAATTTCATCGAAAAGCTTTATATGGGTCTACGTTTTCGAATTTTATCGATGAGTTATGTTATTATTACAAGTTATACCTACCGTACGGCGTACTGTCATGGCCGCTAAGCAGACTCACCTGTATCTGCAGAACCTCCAACGTTTCGTTGCCGAGGTTGTCACGCTCCAGCCGCTGACCAGTGCTGACAAACGCCGTGTCAGTCTCTAGGCGCACTGCGCGGGTCCAGCAGGACAAGGTGCTCGCAGAAGGCAGCGGAATCTTCAGCACATCAGCTTGGGCGTACTTGTAGCCTTTAAGCGGTGAGCGGAAGACGGTCAGATCAGCGGTAGATAAGCCAGCCAGATGAGCGGCAGACAAGCCTGCACGATGAACGGCAGACGAGCCAACCAGGCGAGCAGCAGACGGACAGGCGAGCGGCAGGCAGGCTAGCCAGGTGAGCGGTACGTGAACCTGAACAGTGGACAAGTCCGCCAGATCAGCGGCAGACAGGCCAGCCAGGCGAGCGGCAGACGGGCCAGCCAGGCGCGTGGTGGGCGGCCAGGCGAGCGGCAGACAACCCGGCCAGGTGAGCGGCAGATAAGTCAGCCAGGCGAGGGGTAGATGAGCAGTAGATGAGTCATCCTGGCGAGCGGCAGAGGACCAGATGAGTGGCCAGATGAGCAGAAGCGGAGCCAGCTATGTGAGCAGCAGCCGCTCAAGCCCGACATCCTGCTTCAGCACCTTCCTCAACTAACAGAGCTCTGGGCATGCTGGCGGACCTGTTTGGCTGCTCTCCTCGCGGCGGCAGCCTCAGCCTGAGCTTGATTGAGGAATCGTAGCCGGATGTGCAGCCTGGTACGAACCAGCTTCCTGGCGATCCGGAGATCCAGGCCCGGTTACTTTTGTCGCAGGCGTCCTCAGCAGCTCTAGCCCTCGCCTGCACAGTGTTGGTCGCCGCACCGCCGTCTTCAGCCTCCTCTGTGATACTGATGACCGGCGGCACTTTAGGCTGCAGGGTGACGGCCCGAAACTCCTCCTCCACCTCGTCCTCCTCCACCGCTGCCGTCAGCTCCGCTGGGCATTAGATCTGAAAAAGGAAAGTTTATTTAACTTTTAGTGGCACTTATTCTTATTTTCTTGGTTCTGCGGTGACGGGGGGAGTCGTTTGTCTTCGCATGATTATTATTAAACACGCACAGTCCAAGGAGGGGGGGGGGGGGCGAATACTGCCCACGCATCCTGTTTTTCGCAACTGACTCACGCCGCAATCATTATGTTAACATAACATCTTCAGTACCTGCCTCGAATTTAGATACGCATCTTGCTGTGAAAGCAATAAGTAAATCAGGCTACAACTTTTCTACCATCAGGGGTTTAAAATCAAGCAGTTTGACTATGACAGCGCCGGACGGTTCCGTCTTTGCTCTGCGCAGCTTATCGCTCGATCGAATCGGGTCAAATCTGTGTGAAAGCTCAGAAATGAGGATATTAGAATTACTGTTAATGCGAATTTCATCTAACACAAGAGTGTGCCAACATTCCACTAACCTGCGTCATCGTGTAGGCTCTTGATCCAGGTTTTGGTTGGCGTGACTCCCATCTGCTCCCACAGCTTTTCGTTGGAGGAGTGCATGTCACTCGTTGCTGCCACCACCGACAGACCGATGCTCTCGAGGCGGACGATGACGTGCACCAGCTCGCCTGGCGTCATGGCTGAGTCCAGCTGGTAGTACAGGGTCTGTTTCCACGGCGAGCAAAGTCCCCGCACCATCAGTAGCTGCAGCTTCGAACCGCGCAATACTTGGTCGGCTGTGCTGTCGTAACAGTAGCGGCTGTCGAGCGACATCTCATCGAAGCTGATGACGCACAGACGGTCCATGTCGCTCATGTCAGTCGTGACAGCCTCAAGGACGGAAGCAGCGGCGTCCATCACACCGGGTGTGACGCGGAACGCGCGGGTCCAGCGAGACAGGGTGCTCGCGGAGGGCAGCGGAATCTTCAGCACACTTTGGGCGTACTTGTATCCCTTGCGCGTGAGGCACCGCAGGTTGGACACGTTTCCAGGAGACCAGCGGATCCGGCGCCCTGTCGCCGCCTGGCGCACTTGACCACGGGACAGAACCCCGGACTCTAGAAGACGGTCCAGCTGTCATCCTTTTTCGGTGGCGATACGCAGGCGGCGCTGAAGGCGCGACCTCTTCTCGTTCCGACACTTCCTGCTGAGCTTCCATAGGCGCTGTTGCATGTCATTCACCTCCCCTTCCAGGTGCACTACTTGCTCAAGAGGAGTGGTTTCCTCGAAGACGATCACTGGACAATCAGGTCCAGGATCTGATCCAGGCCGTTCCGGAGCAGGTCCAGGATCGCCGGTCGGACTGCCGCCGTCGCTGTCCCTGGAGGCGACAGAAAACAGTGAATGTCAAAACTGCTATGTAATATTTAAATTTATAAATTCTCCCGTTACCCGGCATTGCGCGATTGGATGGTAGGGGTCGGGGTGTACGCAACAAGCTCTGCTTAGCATTAGCACCAGCTCAATATACCAGAATTGGACACCCAAAATATTTGAGAGGTACCACTGGCTGGACACCCGAGAATTGGACACTGAACGCATAGCTACCTATCATCGATACCTATTCAATGTTCAAAAGGTCAAACAGGCATATCTTGAGGGAATATAGTGGTAAAAAGCTATATGATTCAACAATGATACTTACAACAAAATGATACACCAATGATACAACAAATAGGCGCACTTATGTATATTCCAGGAAAAGAAAACAACCCTTATTTTTGAAAACTTACTTTTAAAAGCACTTCACAAGATTTACCTCTGCCAGATATGTTTCCAATGACGGGCTCTAGGTAGGTAATTTTTGAATTCCTTGAGCACCATAGGAATTTACAAAACATTGCCTAAAGCTTGACTGTGAAAATCATAAAACTGTATTGTCAGTTTAGTCAAGCTGACAAGTTTGTGCTACAACCCAATCTCACATCATGTCAAAACAAATAGCATACCTCGACAGCTCTTGACCAGACCCTGCAGTGGTCAGCTCGTCACTCAGCTTCTTGAGGGACCGCTGCTGCAAACACCCATCTCGCTGTGCAGATGTCACCTCTTGTCTCCTGCAAGGAAATAATGATTTAATGAAGCAAAACAAATAACAATGTAAAGAACACTTCATTCTGTCAGCAGATCTAGCAGAGAAATAGATATGTTAACTGAGTTCTGTATGATCGCAAGATGTCTTAAAGGAAATAGTTCACTTTTAACATGGGGTTTTGAACTGGAATAGCAGTTTCGTAGCTTGAGCTGAGACTAGCACAAATCAGGAGCTTTTACGGCTCAATGATCACCCAAGACGAAGATATTCCATTTCTCGTTCCGAAAAGAGTGCCTTGCAGAGGAATGTGTGCCTTGCACAGGAATGCAGCCACGTCATCGTCAGCCAATCAGCATGCTGCTTACAGCCAATGCAGTATGCGTAGGTTTGAACTACGCGATATGATTGGTCAACGCGTAATAAGCTTCCGCGTCAAACATTATTTTGCGTAGAATATAGTTCGTCCAATATTAAAATATAGAAAAAAATTGTTTTAACAAAAAGGTTTTATTTTATTTCATGATCATTCTGAGCATAAAAAATCATAAATCAATAGCAAAATACTAATTTCAGGAAAGTGAACTGTTTCCTTTAAGTTACATTTAGGTCATAAGTGTCATAAGACAGATCTGAGCAAAAACTGAATTCGTAAGGAAAATTGGGCAACAAATGTTCTTGTGAGGTCATTTCAAAAGCATAACATTTAAAAAAGTACTTATCAATTCATACATAAAAGTATCAGTGCAAAGCGTAATGATGCTGATGCAGCCTGAAAATTTGCATTAACCCGCGCACCGACGGGGGGCGGATATCCGCCCCCCCCTGAGGTTTTACGCGAATAGCGGGAAAACCGCGGCGCGTAGCGCCGCGAAATTTGGTATGACTATTCCCTAATCAATTTTACACATGGTGTGCCAGTTTGAACCTCCTACCTTTCAAGGTCAGGTCACCAGGTCACTTTGAATGACCCAACCTCAAGTCACATTTTTGCAACTTTGTCACCGTGCCAGAGCTACAGTAGATGTCGGAGGCCTTTGAAAGTCGCAGGATGTTATTAGGTCATTAGTAGCTACAATTTGTATATCTCGGAATTTTGATATCGGTGACCTAAGGTCAGGTCAATTTCGCGACCTCCCCATTATAAGTCAATGGGGGAAAAATCAACTCCCTGTTTTTACCACTAAAACGGGTCGGAATGGCCCCATATACCATACATGACTTCATATACGATCAACCTTCACTACCTTGAGGTCTGTTTTGCTGTTGGGCAGCTGTGAGGTCATGTGACGTCATCAAAGGTCACCAAAGGTTTTTGGCCAATAACTCCGTACAGGAACAAGATACAGACGCGTGGATGGTCTCATTGTGTTCAGCTCGTCAAGACGCATCGAATGATATACATGATGACCTCGAGGTCACGTGACCTGAGGTCAACCTTTGACCTTGACCTTTCGAGGTCAACATATATATCATTCGATGCGGATTGACGAGAGGATCATGATGATGCCCTTAGTTTGTTCCTATCTTGACTAATTCGAAAGTTATTCGAGAAAAACTCTCCATATTTAGTGCCGCCATTTTGACTTTTTCGACCCCTGTGACGTCATCTTTGACCTGACCTGAAAATGACCTTAGTAAAAATTGTAGATCTTGACCGTGCGTATCCGATGCCGTTTACCGCTTGTCGCTATCTTGCTTCGTTCTCGAGATCTCAGGGGGGGGGCGGTCATCCGCCCCCCCCCCCGTCGGTACTAAGTTGGCGCAGACCCCCGTCGGTGCGCGGGTTAAAAAGTCAAAGATAATACTAATTACCTACTCAGTACCTGCTATAAACAATTAACTATTAAGTGACAAATTTGTGAACTATGAACAATAATAAAACGTGAAATATCCTAATCGTATAGCGGACATTTCAGGTACCTACTGCCAGTTATTTGTGAAGAGTTGTTAGACTCGCCTATTTTGTTTTCCAACAAAGGATAAGTACCACCTGGACTCTGGAGAATACCTCATTGCGTCATTGATGCATCGCTTACACATCCTTCTTATTAGCTGGCTCAGCTATCAACTATCAGCTATCAGTTATCAGCTATACCCGCCTTGAGTTGATAATCATAGGTTCAAGGTTTCATAGCCGGCCATATACACATGTTTTGGTATTATAGCTTTTTTGAGGCATCTCATGAGATGCGAGATCTGTCGACGCTAGCAACTTTCTGGCAAACTCCTCAGAAAAAGTGACTAAGTTTATTCTAAAAAGTGACCTACACGTTCGTACAGTCTCTGTTAACTAAGGAGGATTTTATACCAATGTAAATGATAATAAAAATGGGAAATTTTGAGTGGAAATTTTGAGTGGAATATAGAGAAGAAAACATCCAAACAAACATATCCAGCAAATGATCATATCCATGATTACCCATATTTTTGACGTGTTGTATGTTTTTGGTTTGCAGATTGTGTAACTGTTCAACTCACCTGTTGGGGTTCCCTACTACTTGCCGAGCGCAGCCATATGGGATAGTTCAGGATGGAATGAGCCTGAGGGAGGGAACCCACAAGGAAGGAACTGTTGTATTTTTGTTGGTTTGTAGGTTATGTTGGGTTATGTTAGGTAAGATTTGTTTTGTTTCTGATTTATTATTCTCCAGGTAGCGCCTGTCCTTTGTTGGACAAATGAAACACGCATGGGCCGAGCATCTGAGACAAGATGACTGACAAAAATAAGAATAAAATCATTGAAATATACCTATGCAAAACTGTAAATTAACCCGGCAGTTGCTGGGGTATTTCGCCACCCACCGTTTGCTGGGGGGGGGGGGGGGGGCGTTAAACGCCCCCAGCCGATAACTCGAGAACCAATAGGCGCAGCGAAACGCACGAGGCGGCAAACGAAAGAGCGCGACGAGACGCTTCAGATGAGTACTTTAAAGTTGAATTTTGAGGTCACAGGTCGGGTCAAGGTCAGGTCAAACACCTGAAATCGGGCTTTCAGTAGCATGGACTTCAGGACTTCGCAATGGGCGCCTCTCGTCATAAACTCTGTCCAAACGGTGCACAATCCATCATATAAGGCTTACAAGAGTGTCAGCTCCATGTCGGGGTCAGTCAAGCATAGGTCAGGGTCAAGGTCAGGTCAACCGGGTAGGCACATATCCCCGAAAATCAAAACTAATATTCGCAGCCTGTGACACATGTTTGATAGGTAATTTGGGGCGTAGAACACGATGGTGACATTCATTTTATCATATGTGTACGTGTTTGGCTCAAAAAGTTCAATTTAAGAAATGCATGTATCATGGTCGTGAAGTAGTCACGAAAAATTGCCAAGATTCAGTTCAAGATTATGGAAAATGCGGAACAATAATCAATAATCGAAGATAGCCATTCGATTGATCATGGTATTGGCAGTCTAATGGCGTTTACGGCATGTCTGTATGTCTATTCTGTGATTTTATATGATTTTTTGAACATATGCCGTTTTTGGTCGAAAACTCAGAAATCATGACGTCACTAAAACCTCGATATCTTAAAAATTTCCCGACCGATTTTTTTGAAACTTTGTCACAATAAACTTCAATAAATTCCCTACAGGTACCCAAAATTTGGCGCGCCTGCGGCGCGCCGTTTTTATGCTACGGCCCGGCGAAAAAAGTGGGGGCGTTTAACGCCCCCCAGCAACTCGCGGGTTAAATGATATTCCATGCAGCTTGCCTGAAGGTTGATGACGGCAATTTGATGGACGGTACTGCTCCAGCCTTCAGCTTGGGCTTCAACTTCACATTTGATGGCATGACAGATCGCTGAACTTTGAAGGAATCATCCAGGTCATCATCCAAAAAATGTTTCCCACGCACTCGGGCAGTCTTGAGTTTGACATTGATTTTGTCCTTTCTGGCGCACCTATGCTGATGCATCCATTCTGATTTCAAGTTACTGATTTTGGGGAATGAAAAGAATATGAGTCCTATTCCTAGAGTTGTTGAAACACTTTGAAACGGCGCAGTGTGGCATGCTGACTCACAAACACTTAAAACACTCACTTAAACCAAGCAAAGTAATAACGATCTAACAAATATAAGTATTTCACAACTGTTGAGCCGACACCGATCAAAATCCAGAGAAGAAGAACGGCTGCAAGAAGAGAGAGCAGGCGCAAAGTAAACAATTTTAAAAATGGCGGCGGAACGCGCCACTAAACGTAACAATTGCGCAGAAGCTGTCGATATTGTGACGTCATTAGTCACATTTTTGCCTATGGAGTAACACAAGCACGACACCCCCCTGGGTCAGTAAGATTTTTCCTACATGCCGCATACCTGCTAAGTAGTTTCGACAGGTTTTGGTGACACTTTTATACAATTGTTTTGTCCATAATTTCGAAACAGTGATTGCGCTACTGCTGTGGATAAAGATTTGAAGGAAATTTATAGAAGAAAATGCATCAAAATACCTCAATTCAAAAAGAATCGCGTCTGAAAATATCAACTCAGAATGGCACAACAATTGGATATCCTAGGAACATCATACATGAATAATTTGCCACGACATAAGAACAAGAAGAAGGTATAATGTATAATATTCCTAGTGATTAAACGTGAATTTTCCAGTGCTCTTGCAAGAATATTTTCTTTATTTTTGTAATCGTACTTTGTTGATGACCTATGGCTAAACTTTCGTGAAATACATAATATTTTCCATATTTTACATGATTGTTTCGAGGAAAGGACTACAACTGTCAAATAATAACGCAATAACTTAGGCCCAAGGTATCAGTGGACATATCAAACGAAGATAAGAAACAAGCGATAACGGATTTCGATTAACCCGCGACCTGGTGGGGGGGCTATTTTTTGCCCCCCCCCTCCAGACTTTTCGTTATATCTCGAGAACCGCTACGCCGATCGTCACCAAACTTTCAGTACCCTCCCGGACATCAATTTTACACATTGTGACCAAAATTTTTTTTCCAAAGGCTATGATAGGTTGGCCGAAAATGACGTCAGAGTGACGTCATGTTCTGCCGTTTTCGACCCAAAAAAGGGTTTCGCGGGAAGAGCTGTCAGGCCTATAGCTTTGCAAACACAGAAAAATGATAGAGACATAAAAGCTGTAGAATTGACAGGGCTACAAAACTGCTATCTCGGATTTTTGAAATTTTTGAATTTTGACCCTCAAAAATCAAAACATAAATTTTTTGGATAAAATAATCGAAAAATCCAAAAAGTTTTTTGAATTTCGCAAAAACCGGAATATATGTGATAGTCCTTAGCGCCTTCCATCCACATACCAAATTTGAGATTGATACCTCTTTTTTTGGCGAAGTTATAGCGAAAAAACTGTTCAAAATTGATGACGTCAAATTTTCAAACTCAATTTTTAGCAATTCTAGACCCCGTAGCGCAAAACAAAGACCACCATTAGACTCCTCGTGACGAGCTGCATCGAATCAAACCCATTTTATGCAAAACTATCAACTTTAAGATTTGACCTTTTTTGGCCTGACCTTGACCTGACCTTGACCTGAACTTCACCAGAAAGTGATCTAAGCCGTACCTGATAGTCTTATAACCAACACCATTGAGTTGGAAATGAAAAAATTGGCCATAAAACATGCATCACACAACCTTAGTAAAGTTGGGCTCATGTGACCTGACCTGTGACCCTTGGTGACCTGACCTGTGACCTGACCTAGTATTGTCAGTGACCTCTAATAGCAACATATCTACTAGGCAACTGACGCCCTATCGCTGATTCTCGACAAAATGCGTTTTCCTCGGTGTTATAGCGCATTCCCTAGAGGACCCGTGAACGGTGAAACATTTCATCTTTGACCTGACCTGTGACGTCATCGGTGACTCCGAGGTCAATGAAATTTGGTTTCCCTTGACAAATTTGACAGGCCTTTCGAACGCCGTTTGAATTTTGCGGATCCGTCCAGTAGTTTCGGAGATACGAGGGGGGCAAAAAATAGCCCCCCCCCCCACCTAGCCTTTCTCATAAACATTTTTTACTATTACTGGTGTATAGTAGAATAGTGATTTCAAGTTTACTAATCACTGTTGCCCTCTGTCTTATAAACAATAGTGAAAAGTAATTAGTAAAAGAGTAAGATTTCGGAGCTCAGTAACGCTTGAAAACGAGTCATGGGACCTCCGTGTGGAAGATATCCTTTTAATTTTATTTTGATCGTCGAAATGCGGTAGACACCGCTGCAGTTCTGGCTATATATCTTGGTAGCTAGACCAATGATCGGCACGGGACCAGCACCCACGTTAACGTATCGATAATTGAACGAGCTATCAAATAACATCGATTTATGCCATGAAGGCACCGGCGAATGTTTGATGAATCATGCGATTTGGAGATAGCTGGCGCAACTAGATATTGTTTTCGATGGAAGGGGGTCAGAGTTTTTAACCCTCGCACCGACGGGGGGGGCGGATATCCGCCCCCCTGAGGTTTTTGCGCCGCGAAATTTGGTATGACTATAACATCATCAATTTTACACATGGTGTGCAAGGTTGAACCTCCTACCTTTTAAGGTCAGATCACCAGGTCACTTTGAATGACCCAACCTCAAGTCACTTTTTTGCAACTTTGTCACCGTGCCAGAGCTACAGTAGATGTCGGAGGCCTTTGAAAGTCGCAGGATATTATTAGGTCATTAGTAGCTACAATTTGTATATCTCGGAATTTTGATATCGGTGACCTAAGGTCAGGTCAATTTCGCGACCTCCCCATTATAAGTCAATGGGGGAAAAATCAACTCCCTGTTTTTACCACTAAAACGGGTCGGAATGGCCCCATATACCAAATACCATACATGACTTCATATACGATCAACCTTCACTACCTTGAGGTCTGTTTTGCTGTTGGGCAGCTGTGAGGTCATGTGACGGACCATCAAAGGTCACCAAAGGTTTTTGGCCAATAACTCCGTACAGGAACAAGATACAGACGCGTGGATGGTCTCATTGTGTTCAGCTTGTCAAGACGCATCGAATGATATACATGATGACCTCGAGGTCACGTGACCTGAGGTCAACCTTTGACCTTGACCTTTCGAGGTCAACATATATATCATTCGATGCGGATTGACGAGAGGATCACGATGATGCCCTTAGTTTGTTCCTATCTTGACTAATTCGAAAGTTATTCGAGAAAAACTCTCCACATCTAGCGCCGCCATTTTGACTTTTTCGACCCCTGTGACGTCATCTTTGACCTGACCTGAAAATGACCGTAGTAAAAATTGTAGATCTTGGCCGTGCGTATCCGATGCCGTTTACCGCTTGTCGCTATCTTGCTTCGTTCTCGAGATCTCAGGGGGGGGGGGCGGTCATCCGCCCCCCCCCCGTCGGTGCGAAGTTGGCGCAGACCCCCGTCGGTGCGCGGGTTAAAGCAGGCCCCCACGGCACACCCACTTTTAAAATATTTCAGTATTCCGTGCGCACTGTGCTTCTTGCCATTAAGTTAAGGATCCCTGCAAGCATGTTGGTTTTGACTTTTGACCTAAATTGGCTCGAGCTCAATTTTTTAGGTCGAGATTTATTTTGCTGAGACCTTTCGTCTGGTCACTAACATTTCATTTTCGGTAGCTGCTTCATTTACAGAGCAATGCAAAGGAAAGGGAAACACCCCGGACCTGGGCACTGGATTGGACTAGACTTTGGGTTGGATTTCCCTGGCTCGGCTAGCCTAGTCCGTACCACATCTGTACGCGGCTTTAAAAAATGCACATCACATTTCAGTTGCATGTATTTCGTTGTAGTTACATATTCACATGGTTATATGATTATATCCGATCCCACTCGTCGTAGCTGACCGTCACCTACAACGCTGCTTGTAGGTGGGCATACGAGAACGTCGCACACAATAGCCCCAGTGGATGGCATCACAGTGCATATGTAATGCATGACTCCTTCCGACCAACCGGTACAGTCATTAGAAGATCTAGAAGTCATTTGATATGCTGGGGGAGGCATGCTCCCCAATAATGTGCTTCATTTTTGCTTTTTCAAAAATTTCTCGGATTGTGATATATCATGCCTATTTGTGCTGTTTAAATCAAACTTCTTATAAAAGTTGTTGGTTTTCCTCTCAATACCAGGAAACATGCGTAAGTTCATACTTTGGGGGCGCTGCAGAGGGGGACAAATACTCCAACGTGCCCCTGGAACCATCAGTGGTCACGGCGGTGAGCGCTATTTTGCTTCAAGTTGCATCTAAGTGTTCAGCACCCACAAAGTATTCAGCATCGTATTTGTTTTGTACTCACAAGACCAAGTATGTTTTTTTTTTCAGTTCAGGTTCAGGTTCAAGTAGTAGGCTAATGTTGGACTTGCGTTTATTCTATGCCGACATCGAAAATGCTTCGGTTACTGGGTATTGCTTTATCATGTTTCAGTTGATAGCCCGTTGTCCGTGTGTCTTGTCCTTTTTCAGTTAATGTCTCTCCTTCAATGAAAATCCATCGCAGTTCCCATTTTGAACGTTTCGAACATATCTCCACTTCACATTAGCTTGCCAGAAACACGCTTGACCTCATTCAGTTTGCCAGGATGGAGAGCCAACTTTTCATATGATTTAACGTGAGGTTTTAGCAACAATAGATGTTTTTAAAGAAAAAAATGAAGTTTGTTATTTGTCAATAAAAGGCTTATGCCGAAAACTCAGGACATGCATTAAGACATTAAGTACATTTAAAGCTAAAAGCAAAACTCGTCAGCTGTTTTACTGCAAGGTAGAGCAAGGGTGAAATTGACAGCACGAAAGCAAACGTCATTCGACTTTTTTACTACGGCACGTGCTTTTATGAAACACAACCCAGGATCTTCCTACTGGTCACCAGTAAAACTGTGCTATAGTAACCTAGTAAATTTGCAACTCTAGGTAAAAGTAATTTTTGCTTTATGAAACAGAATTTTACTGGTCAGCAGTAAAATCGTGCTTTTTACTATTATGTAAAATGACGATAATAACTCAAGTTTATTGTACAAGACAAAGCTTTCGATACATAAAGTATCTTGATCACTGTCAATGAGATGTAGAATATTTGAAAATTCACAAATAACAAAAACCGACGCAAGTCGTTGCATTTCTTTCTTCCTAACATGTGACATTCACCCTATGACACTTTCACTGCTAATTTTGCTGCTATGCTAGACCATGTAATAAACCCGTTTCTTGTGTTGAACGTATTTCTTGACATGATATGAGCCGCTTCG